TCATTAGCACCTCTAGTAATACTGTATATTTACTGAGAAAAATGGTGACGTGTTCAATACTTATTTTACCTGCTGTACCAGTAATAATGACATTACTACGGCAGTTGGATGGTACGTTCAAACTCCCCTGTGGGCTCGCACTCAGGGGCACACCGGGCATCTGGTACACAGTCCAAGAAAAGGTTACCACACCAAAAAAAAAGAAAGAAATGCCCAAATTCCTTTTCATGTCTTCCCATGTATTGCTGACTAACACCAGGTCATCCGCATATGCCATCGCAGTAATAACCTCTCCGTTGATGCTAAAACCATCTCCCTTCTCCTCCAACTTGTACAGAAGGGGATCAATGGCAAGGTTGAAGAGGAGCGGTGAGAGAGGATCCGCTTGTTTAACGCCGACCTGGCTGTTGATATAGCCAGTGTTGCCCCTGATATTAGGGATGGAGGTGCTACAGCCTCGATATGAGCTGGAAATGAGGTCTCTGATGAGTTTGTCAAAAACCSACTTTCAAGTACCACATCTATGAGCTTGTGGGAGACCAAGTCGGCCAGGTCAACAAGCACCACCGCTAAGTTCTCTTATGTTGTTTACTGTGGGTGATGAGGCCATTTAGAGTGACTAAGTTCTACAAACAGCCAGGYGACTCAATGAAGCCCTTCTGCGCGGGATGGACGGGGCATGCATCTGTCAGCCTTTTAGCAATGATGTGCGAGAATAGCCTCAGAATGATGGGACCAACAGTGATCAGGAGCCAATGACTCAGGAGGTCATTGGGGGAGCTACTCTTGGGCAGGAGGACAGTCTTGTTTACTTTGAGGCAACAAGGCAAGATACTGGAAAAAAGGATGATGTTAAAAATGGAGGTCAACTTGGCTCCTGTATGGTCCCATTCAAGGGTGGAGGCTACCTTAATGCCATCAGGTCCAGGAGCTCCCAACTTCATGTTCTTGCCGCCAAGTGACACTCCATTCGCTCCTATGGGGAAGTCCATGTAACTACTGTCAGCTCTTGGGAGGTAAGCAGTGTCTGAGCTCTGTAAAAGAGTCCTTCTTTTCTCATATATTGCAGTAAGCATCCCTCGCGGTCTTGTGATTAATTGTGCAGGATCTAAATAGTTTACCCTCCAGTATCCACCTAGCAGCAGACAGTCTGTCCTTGGCCCAGAGACACTGCATAGACTGGTAGCACATGTCTGGACTAGCTGGCATGTAAAGCTTCTTGAAAGATCTATGTTTGAATTGGTGGATGTTGACCTCTACCTCTGTGCATTTTAACTTTTTGGTTAGCCTTTTAATGAAAAGGACCTTGGGAGAACTCCCTAGAGGGAGATGCCACCTGTGTATTTATCACTAAGCCTCCTCAGGTTGCCTTTGGTTGAGTCGACTGAAGTGCCATTGAGAGCTGTCGGAAATTATTGGTCCACCAAGCTATCTATTGTATCGGTAACGTTATCGCCTGAACTCTCATTGCTTTGGGCTTAAGATGTAAAGCTCTACTAGACAGATACACATCCGTGTGCACCTTACGCATATGCTGCGAGAGGCCCCTCACAGATGCAAATTGCTTTGCATATACTGTATAGGTGCCCTTGGGTCTAAAACGCTTAGGCAGTTTTTAGGTCTACATTTGATGGCCTGTTGAATGGCACTTTTAAGGTGTCTACGGATGCCACAACATCTGGAGCAGATTAAGTGGATATTCCAGGGTCGGTGCACTTTTCTAATATGATCCAAAGCTTTATTAGTGGATGTGAGCTGTTTGGGGCATAGTCTTCCATCTTGATCTATCCAGGGAAGTCTTAACCCAACAGCCATGTTTCATGGGAGTCTTCCTGAGCATTTAACACCACTGTTCCAAGGTGAGTTAAGGCTAAACATGACCATGACGGACCATGAAAAGGAATGGGGAAATAGGTTCAACAGATGCTTTGAGTCTAGTCTTAACTGCATTGAGGTAATGCCACAGCTCCAAAGGAAAAATGGGACTTGTACTAGCCAAACAGGGCAATTCCGGAACTTCCAATTCGAGCAGATGGCCCTTTTTATTGGGAGGTGATATGTTAAGGATGGAGATCATTGAGTTGTAGGTGGACCCCATATTATGAGAGCTAGTCGGACTACTGCACTCTGAGATGGCCCTGCGGCCACTAAGCTGAGGTGCGAAGTTGTCGTCCATATAAGGGTCAATCCACAAGTATCCAGGCTGGAGGGGGTAGACTAAAGGTTCTAGGTCATACTGATGAATCAGTATGGTTCCTGGGAAAGGATCTGTACACCAGCCAGTAGGGATGGGTACCAAATTCGATACTTTTATAAGTACCGACCGAATTCTGTTGGTACTACCGAGTATCTATTCATGTAACATCAAATTGTACTATGTTTCGGTACCTAAACGCATCATTGCGACCATATTGGCATAAGAGTGGTGGGTTTTCCATGCTTGTCCTGAACGCAGCATTGCGCAAGTGTGTAATAACATCAGCAGCCGCTAATTCAGTAGAGTTCGGCGTAGCTTGAAAGCAAGCCTCACAGCTCCTGGAGTTGAAACTCACCGAACAGACCGCCTRCCGCCTCTGAATTATCTGGTGGATTAATTATCTTGTGAGCATGACGTTCACTTGCTCAAAGTAAATAAAGTACCACCACTTTCTTTATTTCATCCACCATTAAACAGAGACCAACAGAGGAAAATAACAGGCGCTTCCCGACAGTCCGAACACGTCTGACCTGAAAGAACACAAGCATTCAACTTGAAGCATTGAGTACGTTAAATACCTTAAATACCATTTTTTATTTTAACTCCATCCTCTTTTGCTTATTTGATTTAAACTTATTTGCCTTCCATGGACCCCCATCACACAATTTTTCTAGAGGGTAAATGACATCAATAGAAATATGTGGAGCTGGATTTTAATTTGCGCAATAAGATAACACTGCATTAGTTGTTTTCAAGAGTTTTCACATTAAATAAATTAGTTAAACAACTTATGTTACAATACAAAGAGTTGGATGTTGTCTTGATATTTGTTAAATTTTATATACTGTATTGAGAAATATGTTTAAAATTTTTTTAAAGTTTATTATTAAAAAACAACACACACAAAGTACTGAATATTGGTACTGTTAAGTACCGGTACCGATTCCCAGGTACCGGATATTGGTACCGAATTGATTCAAATGTCAAAGGTATCCATCCCTACCAGCCAGACAGGAGGGGAGAGAAGAAAGGAACAAATTTTATTAGTAAGGAAACAGTATTTTGGATCTAATAACAAACAATTTTGCATACTCAGTAAAGAAAATCCTAAAAGTTCAATATGCATAGCCAACGGCTGGCAGACGGCACAAAGAGCATGGTAATGTAAATATAGTGTCTCAGAAAGATATAAGAAGAAAAACGCTCCCTCGAAACGGCATTAGTTCAATAGTGAGGATGTACTGGCAGGGTGAATATTAAACACAATCACAAAATCAACTGAAATAGGGACAACAAGGAAACTACAGTGACCTATTGTCATGAATCACGTCTGTATTTTGCTAAACTTAGTCATGTCATGTTCTTCCTGCCAACTATCCTTCTCATTGTTTCACCCCACCCATCACAGAAGTCAGCATTTTGCCACTCACCTGTTGTCTCCACTATTTAAGCTCTACTCTCCCACAGCACCAGCACCAGATTTATGAATGGTTTTCCAAGTACTGTAGTTGTCCAGCATTCTCCATGTCATGTTTTGCCTGCCTCATCTCAACCCCATTTCCGCTCTCTGGTTTCACGTCTCCCTCGCCCCTGAACAGTACCRTACTGTACTCTGATCTTCTGGTTTTAACCTCCGCTTATGCCTCTGGACCTCAGCCTCTCGTCTTTGCCCATTGGACCTGTTCAGTCATCTGCCTCCTGGATTCTGACCCTCGCCTGTGTACCTCGACCAAGAGATAAGTCCTTTCCTAAAAACCCGGTTTCGTATTCTGATCCTATATGTATGAACCAAGCCTGTTTCACGGAAATCCCTTGAATAAACAAACTCGACTCAAGTCCGCAACCCGCAAATGACATCACYGGACTACATCCCAGACTCTCAAAATATTTTAAGAGCTCTACCCAGATCTCTTGCACTCTAAGAAGGTTAATGGCTGTTTTTCTAGCAAGATCAGTTCCTCTGTACATCCAAGCCACTGACCCGATTCTCTCCTGTGTAGAGGTCTGGATTCCTGTGACGTGTTCCTCCAGATCCAGCTGCATATTCTTTAATAAAATCCTTAAAACTCATCAGGTGTCTGGCAATTCAGTGAAACTCATTTCCCCAATCATTAAACCTATAGTGTAAGACTGATTATGAACATAAGATATCGACAAGGAGTGGGCAAGAGCCCAAAAGCTGGGACCAAAATATGAGAGTGCTAAATGGTACGACTAACCTGTGCGACTTACCATTAAGGAGGGGAATACGAAGAGGGGACAGTGATGACAAATCTGTGCACACCTTAACGTGTGATGATTATGCTAACAGGATAAAAGTCACCTATGCCCGTTTAACACGAGGAAAGAGTACCATGAGCAACCCTAGGCATGTGGGAGTRAATCCGATGGGCAGGCTAAGGTTAACAAAATATGAGAGGAGAGACATAGAGAAAAAAAAAGTTTGAAATTATATAGCGCCCTATCAAACCTACTTGGACCCCAAAGCGCTCTATAGCTCAAGCATTCAGCCCTTCACACACACCTTCACACAATAACGGTGGCAGGCCACAGACACAGCCGCTACCAGGGCACACTAAACAGAGACGAGTCTAACTTGCATCAGCGCCATCGGACCCTCWAACCACCATCCCCAGGCAATTGTTGAAGTGGCTTGCCTAAGGACACAAAGACCGGGGCAGCTGGAGCAGGGGATCAGACCAGAGACCTGTCAGTTCCAGAATGAGCACCCCGGCCACTCAGCCACAACCGCCCAAGAAGGAAATTGATACCAATATTACCAAAGGGGAGGCGGTAATAAGAACAATGTGYGTGTTGAATGAGGCAAGGACGGGAACTGCACATGGCAGTACCAGACCACACGCCATCAACCAGCAGGAACAAAGATAGGGCCAAACAAATTACCAGCCACTCGCCCCAGCCTCAGACCAACAAYGCAGAGTCAGAAGACATTGGTACATGTAAAGTATGTGTTACCTTTACTCGATTCAGTTGAGTGGAAGCAGTTGACATAATTTTATTAAATAAATCAACTATATCTGTTTTTTGAGTGTAGATGGTGCTTAGAGACAGGGGCTAATTTCAAGGTGTTTAAATTATGATTGCAAATTTATTTTTGATATATAAAGTCTTTCAGAACAACTGAAGGTATCACAGTTACTTGATTATTGTATAGAATTGAACTATTTGCTTGGAAAATTCACAATGCCCCATCTTAAGTGCACAAAAATGCCAAAAGTATCATATTTGTTATCTTTTTTTTTTTTAACTTAACTGTATATCTAGATTCTAGACCTATTGAGTATAACGATGATTATCTAGCAATGTTCACAATCTGGTCAATCCTTACCTCCACAAACATRAAAGGCTCCGCCCACTCTGTAGAGTTTCTGATTGGTGAGTGGAGCAGCACATATAACAAGAAATCCACCAATGACAAGAGCTGTCACAGCTGTGACCTGGAAGATGCTCCAGAAGGTTCTGAAAACTGACAGATGAAAGATGATGTAATCAAAGGTTTAATTTGTCGCATCAGTTTGCACCTGTTAATACCAACCAATGGCAGAGGGCTGTTCATAAGGTTCCGCCCACACTGGTTTATTGACGGGAAATGGGAAGAGGTAAGCAGCCTGGCAGACCTTAGTATGTGGCTGGTTTGCTGAGTGGCAAAAGCAATGATATCATTTAAAAGCAGATGCTTAAAAAGTATAGATCACACTTTTTGAAATTTGATTCTGTGGATAGTTTATTAGCAATTAATATCTTACCTGTTGCTGATACAGCTTTAAACAGCCTCAGTTTGGAGAAATAGAATTTAAATGTAACCCAACTAAAACAGTTCCAGTCTTAAACGTTTCACACTGGTCCAAGTAAAGACTATTTTCTAGACCTTTAATTGCTGCCAATTTCACATTATATTACAATTCTGGCAGAAATAGTATGATATTTTCCCTATTTTTTAGGCTTGGAATTATTTTAAGACAACGGCAATCCATTTGGTCCTGATTGCACTCAAACAAGCCGTTTGCTTATTCCAAGAGCCATCKACAACATGTAAGATTTTGATTGCTAATTATGCAGAATACCCCTTCCACAGATCTGAACTATCACATTAACAGATTCTCACTGATCCAAAAGTCCCACATAGAAAAGTCGGGGCTAACGGTTCTGAAGAAGCAGCGTCTGAACAAGCCCTCRTGGAAGATCCTCGCATCGTCTGCAGTCTGGGCCAGGACAAAAACAGCTTGAGTTGTTTTAAAATAAACACTGCTACTTCTGTGTAACATATCTTTTATATTCAGTAAATATTAGCAGTCGGTTGATTAAAAACAAYATTGAGCAATTTTTTAGTASATATTTAAATATTGTGGAACTCTTMCAAATWGTGAAATAAAAACTGCAGTGTTATTTGTGAACCATATTTAATTTCCCAAGTTCCATTGAGTATACATCAAAGAGTTTACGTTGATCAAGAAATTTTTTTAATGAAAGTCTCAGGAAGTAAATATTCAAMAACTGATCATCTTTTGGAGTCAACCCAGGTCAAGATGGTTGCCACAGCTACTGACTTCAGCAACCTCAAAAATGCGTTCAGTTTAAGAGATTGGTACAGAAATTGACATAAAATTTGATGTGGAASCACTCAAGACTATAACTCGCAACACTAAAGTTGTGTCTGTGCWGGGTAATTACCTTCACATTGGTTTTCTCCAGTCTCACACCTCCATGTTGGTTTTCTKTTGGGCTGCAGGACTCTGCAGCCAGCAGCCAGTACTCCGTACCCCAGGAGAGCAGCGTGAACAGAAACCCTGCTGCTCCAAAGAAAAAAGCCAAGAAAAGGAGCACTTTCAACCTCTGAAGAGACATGTCTCCCTCTGCTGGTCTCTCTATTCAAATATCATCACGATTATAACAACTTATGTTGCTAAAATACTCAAAAAGTGTGTGCAAGTACCACCCACTGCAAAAAGCTAGCACTCGCCTGAGAGTTTGGGCTGAGGGGAGATAAACTTGTGCATCATGTGTTGGCAGGATATGGTTACAGTCACAGAAATAGCAGTGTAAGAATAGATACAAAAGCATTTAGTACGTTTAAAATAACACGACAAATGTACACTTCATGTCAAACTGCAGAAATACCACCTGGGCATTTATTGGAATGCCTGACTTGAGACTTAAATTCAGTACAAGTTATTTACTGAGACACAGTGATCGTCCAACAACAGTCACTCAAACTGCATGGTCATATATTAATACAACTTATTAAATCTAGAGTTCAAAAAAAGTAAACAGGTCAGCCAAAATGAAGCTAGAGAAACATYGTTTAAAAATGATTATCTTAATCGAAGCTCAAATTTCTCCTACAAAATTTACAGGATTAGTTTTGATCTTTAAAAGCAAGGCCCTGAAAAGTAAACCCAACCCTCTGTTAACACTTTAGCTTTGAGTGACCTTAGTTTGAAGAAAAAAACATTAAGTCTTGATTGGATAGACAAGCTAATGCAAGTAGCCAAAACCAAAATTGATTAATTCTGTTTTTAAACTTAAATCTTAAAAATAAATTTATGCAAACAATCTAAAACGGTCACGCTATGCTCAGTTTTCTATTCATATCTTCTTTTTKTAAACAGGAGCAAAAAAAATGGTAGCAGCTAACAGTAACACTTCCAGTGGACAGTTACGTTTCTCACAGTGTAAAGCTAAATTAAGTCATATCTAATTAAATTTGCATGAATGACTGTGATGATTGGAGTCAAATATTTGGTCTAACTAACCGTTAGCCTAATCTGATGCAATCTTGATGTCACCTTTAATTTATCTTTACACTGTTATTCTTGCAAAAATGTTACAATTATTCAACCATTCTTTACCCTTCCAAAAAAATAAGACCTAATAAAAAATTCACACAATGTGACTTTTTCAATGTATTGCATTTAAATTAACTACCTAAATCTAGGTAGTTTTAGGACCAAAGCCATCATTTTGTTCTTGGCCATGCTTGATTTAACCGTTTGTCTATCTGGTCAAAAGTAAACTATTTTTCCAAACTGAGGTAATTCAAAAGTATAACAGAGTATTACGGCCAGATTACAAGACTTAAGTCATATTACAAGAAAGAAATAAAATCAATAAAGCCACAAGAAAGCCATAAGAAAAAAGTAATATGAGAATAAAGCCTTTAAAACAGGTCATTTGCAGAATCATTTCAAAGTCCTGCTACGAATAATAATTTGATGCTGATGTGTAACAAGTATTTTCTTATTTGTAAAACCGATACCCAAATATAACTTCACAAGAAGCTTAACATCCCTCATTTTAAGCAGTGGCAAAATTGCTTCTCAAGTAGTTCATATTAATTCAGGTAATGTGACTTTATTATTTCATTTTTATACTATTTTGACTTTTTTTTCTGTAATATGACTTTATTCTCATAATGTATAAATAAGCCTGGCCCTAATGCTCTATTGTAAAAAAGCTTTAACGGGTAAGACGTTGAAGCTGATGTCTCATTATTGTTCACAACCTTCTCACCAAATCTTAAAACATTTTAAAGTGCCTGTGACATGCATTTCCTACAAATACAAAAAGCGGATCATCTTAACGTTCAAAGAATTTGAATATTATACATCTTTTTAGTCTTTTGTCACAATACTGGTGTATAGTTTGTTAAATACAGTGCTGCCAAAGTGAAACAGGAAGTGACGATGAAGAGGAACTCCGTGATCTTTATTAAAACTTTATTCTCTTTCCAATAGTGACTCAAAATAATCTAAAGAAAAATCAGATTCTTGCTATCTCCTGTGTCGTAAACCATTGTAGCAATGCTCCGCTTATATGCAGGTGTTCCCCTCTGTTGCCACTTCCTGTTGCACCAAATGCAGATAAACCAGCCGTTCATCTCAGAGGCACAAATTTATGTTTAGCATTACATTAATAATAGTCTCTCCCAAAATGCATTTGTATTTATCGTGAAAATTTGATGTCATAGGCACTTTTAGGTTTATTTCATTTTTTTATACAAAAAGGAAACAGCAAAATAAAAAAGATTAATATTTTTTTCACCAGTCTGACAAAAATAGGTTTTACTGAATAGTTTTGAGGAAAACCGTATTTTTTTGAAACAACTCCAAGAGTAAMTATTACAAAGCAAAGAACCCGACTCATATACACAACAGTGTATTTATACAAGACTCATGTTGATTGGTTACAACCCTGTAAGGATACATGTACAAGGCACACAGAAATTAAAAGTCATCACCTATTATTAACCTACTTGCAATAAACAATTTATCCGAGGATACTTTGGGTCGAGGCGTCTTTCGGATCATTTGCCAAGACTTTTCTCTCCGGTAGTTTGTTTGGTCCACTGTCGCTGTGTTTGGGTCTGTTGGAGCATCTGTGCAAAGGCTCATGGGATTCAGCAGCAGCACTTCCCTCGGTTTACCTTTTTTGTTTTAATCACAATGATGTTTCTGGGACCTTTGCTGATTGTGTCACACTGCCATCTAAGACATGACTCCGAACACGGGGTTGTGACGGCAGATGCTTGGCCCGATCTCCTCGTAATCTTTCTTTGTATGGCACACTTGGTAAAACTCAGGCTGAAATGTACAAAAAGAACAGTGTCTTCAATTATCCACAGGTTTAAGAAATTTAGATTTGAAAATGAATAAAGTCAGAGTACTCACAGTGGACGCGAGCATGGATCCTCCGAACCACACGGCGTACCTCTGCATGTGATGGGTGATGACCTGGACGTCGATGGGCTTTGGCTGCAAACAAAGACTTCCAGCTCAACAACCCCTCTACGGTGAATGTAACACGCTCTGGTTATACAAGTCTTACCTTTAACTTGCCGCCGCTCAGCTCCTCGCTGACTTTCAGCCGTGCATCTACTGATCTCTTCAGGTCCCTCTGGAGACGCCTGCCGAAGTCCCGGAACATGGTGGAACCACCGGAGAGCACGACGTTCTGCAACACAGAGACACGATTTTGAAATAACACAAATAAATAAACATTTCACAAGAATCACAGCTTACAAGGACTTTGTGGAATCAGTTTTTCAGTTTGGAGATTCTCATTCTTGCTTCTCGTTACAGCTTCTTAAAGACTTGATTTTTGAGATACAGTCACAGATTTATGATGTTTATGTCTGATCTGTAAGGACAGCTGTGAAACTTCAAGAGTTCTTTAACATGATCGCTCAGATATGCAGGGGAGAGACACCCCATGTGAGAACTTCCGGTTGAACAAGTTAATGTATATAAAGGACATGCGTGATGACGCTCCATTAAACATGGAGGGTTTGACACTGGAGTATAATTCACTGGTGATTCTCTGGGGTTGAATTTATGTTCATCTCTGCATCTGTACCTTATAAAGAGGACGCCTGACGTCAATGGGGCAGTTCTGGATGACTTCATCCACCACCTCTGAGATAGGCTGGGTGAAGTCAGGGTTAGCAAACTGGATGGGAAAAAAAGGGGATAGATAAAGTTGCAAGATGTTTGGCAGCGCTATCTGCTGACAACAATCAATCAATCAATCAATACAGTCTCAGCAGCTCCTGTACCTCGGGGTGGAAGAAGATCTCGGGGCCGAGGAAGCGCTCGTACCCAACGTCGATGGTGAACTCCTTCTTGGAGATGGCGTTCACACCCGTGTACTGTTTGATCCACTTTGTGCCGTCGCTATCGTACTTACTGAATTCCTTTACAAGATCAGGGCAGACGTAGCTGAACCGCTCCTATAAGCAAAAACATCCAAAAGATGAGATTTGAAAGACATTTTAGTCTTTAAAAGGATCCATGATTAGTTGTAACATTAGACTTTATTTGACAAACATACTGTATATTTTAACTGTAAAATAAAGACTGTAAAAATACTGTAGTCTGTTTAGTTTTGTATATCTTTAAAAATATATTTTAACACAGATGGAGCCATTTTATTTACACACAAAGCATTCTGGGTAAATGATGATGTGGATAGGTCCTCGGTGCGAGGCTGCTAGCGAGCTATATCCACCCTGAAGGTTAATCTTGGACAATATCTGATGATCGACTCTTTTAAATGAAACCAGAGAGCGTTGACAGAGAGGAGAAGGTAGAAATGACTCAGCCTGGAACTGAAAATATGGATGGAGGACAACAGTTTAGCTTGTTAGTTTGTCACGCTAGCAACGAGCTAATACATATAAGGCAATATAACGTAGGCGCTAGTGCAAAGGCTAACAGGCTAAGCTGAGGTTCTTCTTCCATGAAGCAGCTCTGTTGTCCTCCATCTATATTTTCATTTACAGGCTGAGTCATTTCTACCTTCTCCTCTCTGTCAACGCTCTCTGGTTTCATTTAAAAGAGTCAATTGTCAGAAATCGTCCAAGATTTACCTTCAGGGTGGATATAGCTCGCTCACACCGAGGACCTAACTACATTAGGGCTGCCACAAATGATTATTTTTATAATCGATTAATCACCGATTATTTTTTCGATTAGTCGACTAATCAGATCGTACGTTAATTTAATAGAAAACATAGAGCTTATCACGTCAGAATGCAGCTGCTATTATATAACCATCGTTAGATTTTAGCTATATGCTAACTAAAAATAATTTCTGTGGAAGGCAAGTTCTGCTCTGCAGATATTACACAGGTTTCTCTTTCATTTTCTTAAAATGATCCCACACTTTTGAGCTCCGTTGTCAGGTAGCCATGATACCAGAGCCTGTCTGTATAATGTCTTGTGACGTCCACGGCCTACCCCAGTTACCACTACTGTGCATGTGTGTCAAGGACAGAAAGGTAGATGTGGCAGTGGAAGGTGTCAAAGCAGTTTGGAGAGAAAAACAAAGTAAAGAACAAAAAAAGAAAATGATTAATCGATTATTAAATTGGTCATCGATTATTTTAATAATCGATTAGTCGTCGATTAATCGTGGCAGCCCTAACCTACATCATCATTTACCCAGAGTGCTTTGTGTGTAAATAAAATGACTCTGTCCGTGTTAAAATATATTTTTAAAAATTTACAAAACTAAACATCCTACAGTATTTTTACAGTCTTTATTTTACAGTTAAAATAAATGTTTATCAATAAAGTCTAATGTTACAACTAATTGGGGATTCCTTTAAAGCTCTAAAGTGTTGCTGTTGCTATGCTGCCCTCTTGTGGCCAAATATATAAATTCATGACAGCCTGATTTATCAGAACTTAGTATCACTTCCTTTTACTGCTTCTCCTTRGAGATTTCATTATAGAAACTCTAAATTTGAGAATGAAATGTGTCTAATCTCTGATGAGCATGAAAGATATGAACCTTAACAGCTTTGGCTGTTTCCAGGGACTGCTCCGGAGGAATCCCCACCTCGCGCTCCCTCAGCAGCTGCTGAATGAAGTAGGTGATGTCTCGCCCRGCGATGGGGATGTGTTTGATACAGCTGCCGATGACGTAGCCTTCAGCCTGGAGAGCAGACGTGAGGACGCGTTTAGAGGCTGAGGGAGAGGAAATGACAAAAGGGGTTGTGAGGAGACACCTACCACTGGGATGACGTGCGTGACTCCGTCTCCGCTGTCKATCACGGTTCCGGTCAGTGTCCGCTCCCCTACTTGTCTGGATGTCCAGGAGGCAGCCAGCGCCAGGACAGCCTGACAAAAATAAATAAGTAAAAAAGGAGATTTTCACATGTTTGATCTGTGGTTAAGACTTTAAAAACCGAGCGAAAAGGCAGAAGAAATTGTGAAACCTAAAATAAGGAACTGAAAATTATCAGTTCCTAAAAAGACAGAATTAAATTCTGTGTCTGAGCGTCTAATCTAATTTTATCCCACTGACTCAGCTTTTAAAACTGTTTCAAGCAGCTGTAGATTTCAAAATAAAAGCCCAACAATGGTTAAAAAAAAGTGCTCCGAATCTCACCTGAACAGCGATGTAGAGGCCTGGGACGTTGAAGGACTCGAACATGATTTCTGCCGTGTACTCCCTGTTCTCAGGCGTGTTGAGAGGAGGCTCCGTCTGCAGACAGAGGGACAGGCACAAACTGAGTGAGGAGGGCTTTTAGTTTTTTTTTAAACAGAAAAGATAACATAAATAATGCAAAAGAGCCCAAAGCAGCTAAAATGAAAGTGAGAGTTAAAGGTGACTAATTAGAAGTCCACCAATATGAGTTTTCTATGGTCAATATACACCAGCAGTTTTTCTGTCCTGCTGTTTTTATTGTCGTCTTTGCTTCAGGTGAAAGAATAAAAGTAGGGATTTCACCATGTTTAAATCTTTGTAAACTATAATAAAACCCACGGCCTGAGTGAATAAATGTACTCATTCCAAAAATTAGATCAACTTTAAGAGACATTCAAAGAAATAATTACTTCTGCTTTGTAACAAACATGTTTTTAGAAAAGTCATTTTACATATAAAAAGTAGAAAATTAACAATAATAAATATTTTATTGTTTATGCCTGATTTTTACATTTTTAAAGACATTCAAAGTAGGGTTGGGCATAATCGTATCGTGTGCAATTAATCGTCAGAAAAACATTAATAGATTATGTTTTGGCACTTCACGATTAATACGATCAATGGGCCTCATGCAAGAACATGTTTGTATTCTTATCCTAAATTTCTCTTATTTTGTTCGTACAAAGGGTTCGTACGAACATGTCACGTC